GTATCCAATACTCATGTGTTATCATAAGAGTCTGACAAATGGAGACTGATCATGAATGTACCTGAAGCTTCTCCAATCTTTTGTTTCGCCCTCTCTGCAAGGTACTCTTTGCAATTCCTCTTCTAGTGCCCATCTTTGCTACAGTGGAAGCACTGACCTTTGTCTTTTACCAGGTCTTTCTTAGCAACGTTTGCTTTACCTGGTCTGCCCTTGCCCTTGCCCTTGCCTTTCTTAAGAAATTTTTCTGCTTTCCTTTCTTTCTAGTCTCACTAGTGTAGAATATTGGCTTCTCTTTCTTAATAGTGCTCTCTGCCTCCCTCAACATATTAAAGAGCTCTAGAAGAGTCACCTCAAGCTTGTTCATACAAAAATTCACACATATATATATATATATTTAATATATATCTACATCGCATACAAATATATATACATATCTAGTAGGTGTATAAGCAATCACACTAGATGATCATGGACCATAGCCTAATGTGATCAGGCCCGAGCTAATGGGCCTAATTAATTACATCAAGATCTATATGTGCAACGGTGCATATCCATGCCCTATGATCGTCCATCTCGTCCTCGTTGGTTTCATCAACATCTTGACGCATCTTCATGCATCACGATCGTCCGTCTTGTGGGTCCCACTATCGCTTCCACGCTCCCGCTGTGCCTCCTTGTATGATTACAATTTAATCATAGGCACGTAGGCTCGACAATAAATGAGAAATATAATGGAGGCTCGCAGGCCCCAATAATAATAATCATAAGTACACACATCACTCCGTCCATGATCATCCGTCCACATCTCATACATCACATGTATAAATCATCATCATGTAGGACTACTAGATAATAATAAAAATAATAATCAATTAAATATATTAATTAATTAATATTTTTTGAAATTAAGGACATGTAGGGAATTTTTTTTAATTTTGAGAGGTATTTTCAAAATTTGAATAGAGGGACAAAATCTAGAATTTTTAAAATTTCGAGGGGAAAAACTATCTTTTGTTTGAAAACCCTAATGCCCTTCTCCCTCTCCCTTACTACTGCCACCGCCGCCACCCTGCCCCCACGGGCGACCCTATGGGTAGGGGACCCTACGAGTGGTGTTGCCCCCATGGGTGGCGCCCCCTTAGTGCAGGTGGCGCTGCCCCCACAGGCGACGCCCCCTTAGTGGGGGTGCTAAGCCGCTCGTAGGAGCCGCCCTTGTGGACAGGTTGCCCCTACGGTCGGCGTTGCAGGAGGCGGCTGCCTCTACGGGCCACTCGCCCACGGGTGAGCGTCGCTGCATGCGCTATTCCCGCAGGCAGCACCCGCGGGTACCACCGCTTGCGGCTGCAACTGCGCATAGCAACTGTTGCTGTGCGCAGGCGGCCTACTTGCATGATGATGGCAGCAAGGCTGCCATCATCAATCGTAGCAAGGGCAGCAACAGTTGCTGCCTTTTCCATCAACAATTTTGACGCTAAAATCTTCTCCAAAACACAACACACACAGTTCAAAACCAATCTATTGCAAGAATAACCTAGCTTTGATACCACTGCTGAAAAATCTTAGGGGCGACATCACATGCGTAGTGGAAGAACAGAAAATAAAATCCCAAATTTCCCAAAGATTTATTCGTCGTTGTGCGAAGATTGGTGCGCAAAATCTGCAAAACTTAAAACTGCGTATAGAATAGATTGTGTTACCTAGGGAGATCGTATATCCCTGAATCCTTGCAGATCTCTAGGAGAGGGTGAAGGAGGTCAAGCACCCTCCTCTCTAGCGGTGATCCATACAGTAGGGCTACGATGATGCTCCTAAAAACTCCAGGCCTGCTCTGAGGTGGAGATGGGGGAGGAGAATAGGAGAGGCAAGCAAAGGCTCTAGCCTATGAACCACTGAATCCCTCCTATTTATAGAGGTCCCCTGTCAACTTAACCCTAATGGATCCTCCCCTATTAGGTATTGTATCTTCATCCAACTACCCAAGCCTCTTAGATTAGTGGATCTCTATCCAATAATCTCTCATAGGCTTTTATTGGATCTTATCCATGAGATCCAATAATTCAAGGGCTTATTGGATATCCAATAAGATAGGAGGTCTGACGGATATCTCATATCCGAACCTCTACTCATCGCAATGCCTACCATATGTGTATGACCTCTAGGCCCAATATCGAGCTGGCCGTGAGTCATACCTATAAGAACACCTTTTGACTTAGTGAATTATTATCTCCATAATAATTCACTCGACTTATCGACTGCAAGCGTACTAGACCACTACGTCGCAGTCCCCAGATGATAGAAGAGAATCCAATCCATTGGACTTATCTGTCCTTAGTTACCGTATACCTATAGTCTCTTATCCATCTAATATCCAAGAGACTGTATACTGGGCATGGTGCTGTCAAACCCATACAATTTCTACTCGAGCCTTGCTCTAATCGGATTCTCACGAAGAACTCTTTCTCTCTCAATCCAAATGACCATAGCCAAGGATTTGTCTAAGCAAAAATACATGGGATATTCCTCTCATTACACCGAGAGTGGATGATCATCTATCGACACTCAATAGCTCTCGTAATGTTGACTACCACTCCTGATGACCGACTATACTAGATCTAGGACATCCAAATCTATGTCCGGTATCAAAGAATGGAGCACTCATATAGGACATCCTTGGTGTCTTAAGTCTAAGGACTAGATACACCACTAGAACTACAGAATAATTGTCTGACAATAAGGTATCATCAACCATCCAGCATTCCAAAAGCGGATCAATCAGTGAACTCATTATCCAATGAGCACCTATACTGTATCCCTAGTGTCCCCACACGAGCAGCTATGAGACCAGCTGCATCCATCATATGGACGGGTATATAGCACACCAGTCTGTCCGGTTATCTTCATGTCCCTCTTGAGTAACCTATGACCGGGATTATTTAGGATCTGTGTTTAAAGGTGAATCGGTCTCATTATCGTGATCTCATCTCGATCTGATTTCCATTGCACAGATACAAGGACATCACAATATATACATGCATATATGCAATAGTCAATATAAAGTGATAAATGCCAAAATATAATAAGCAAAGTGATAAATGTCAAGTCACACATGTCATTACTCATATGATTGGCTTACTGAGCACATATGACTAATATTCATGACCTATAGAGCTCGAACCGTCCTCTCGCTCATAGGAGATGTCCCACCCGATGATAGACCACTACTTGAAGTTGCTTCAAGGAGGCCAATAGTTGCTTCCCTCACCTTAATGACTCTGGAGAAACATAACTTCTGAGACAAGCAACGGGACATCTCTCTCTCTTCCCCCTGGCGGAAAACTTCTCGCCATGGCGAAAACTTCCCATTATGACGAAAACTTCCCACCAAGGCGAAAACTTCCTACCAGGACAAAAACTTCCCACCAAGGCAAAAGCTATCGAGGACAAAGATTTCCCGCCAAAAACTAACATGGCGAGAATCTCCTGCTCGGGCACAGCGGTCATCTAGTGCCCGAGCCGTGCCGCTCAGTCACATCAGTCATATAGTGCCCGAGTCATGATGCTCGGTCGCATCAGTCATACGGTGCCCAAGCCGTGATGCTCGACCACATTAGTCATATAGTACCTGAGCCATGATTCTCGGCCACATCAGTCATACAGTGCACAAGTCGTGCTGCTTGGTCACATTAGTCATATGGTGCCCGAGTCGTGTTGCTCGGTCGCATCAGTCATATAGTGCCCGAGTCATGATGCTCGGCCACATTAGTCATTTAGTGCCCAGGTCATGCTACTCGGCTGCATCAGTCATATAGTGCCCGAGTCATGATGCTCGACCACATCAGTCATTCAGTGACCGAGTCATGATGCTCGGCCACAGCAGCCATACAATGCCTAAGCCGTATTGCTCGATCACATCAGTCATACAACGTTTGAGTCATGCTGCTCGATCAGATCAACCATACCATACCCAAACCGTGCTATTCGGCCACATCAGATCGTAGTACCCGAACCATGAAGTTCGGCCACACCAGTCTACAACACCTCAAATCGTGCCTCACGGTTATGCTAGCCTTCGAAAAACCTAAATCGTGATACCCAGCTACATCGATCCTTCAATATCCAAGCCAAGGTACTCGTCGACTCCGATCGAAGCGCCATGCCCAATGTTGAACAAAGCCACTCGTCTAATCAAAATCCTAACAGTCTTCCCCAGCGGGCCTCACCTATGACCAACCCCCGCTCCCAAAAATCTCCGACTAACCACTGGCCATACCCTAGTCATTACATAGGTAAACCCGACCCACGAAAACACACCACGCCATGCACTAGGCCCCTCGGGGAGCAACCCGATACAAGACGCTCTTTGAAGGGGGGAGAGAATGATAGGGCACATTTTGGTAACCTGCCCTCTAACCACTATTCACAGCCAGGTCCGCCCGAGCACAGTGCCACCCCGCAAAAGCCGGGATAACGTAGCTCGAGCATAGTGCTGCCCCACAAAAGTTAGGATGACACTGCCCGAGCACAGTGCTGCCCCGCAAAAGTTAGGACGGCACCACCCGAGCATGGTACCATCTCGCAAAAGTCGGGTCGACAACCATAAATATGACAGGTACGGGTGGTCTCCAGGGAGAGAGAGATAAAAAGCCTCTCGCATGGCCAGTAAAGGTGATGGTTTTTTGTCACTCAATTCTAACCAGAGCTTAGAGGGGTCGAAGTTGGGAGCCCCTTCCCGACCCCGACTTATGTGCAGGGACCGGAGGCCAAGAAGAAGGTGGTCGACCTGAGGGAGTCTCCGACTTTGAAGCCAGAGCCCAAGCCCGACCTCGTCCGACCACCATCCACATCGATCGAACGCCGACTTGCATGATCCTACGCACTCGGGACTGAACCAAGCCGTACCATCTCACTCTACCACGGTGTAAAGGATCCCCATCAATCACGTTGATTATATCAATATTCAATGCTACTGTTTTACATTTCTATGATGCACAGTACATGACACCACTCAAACAATCTCCAGAACAATATTTAGTAGTCCAATTAGGCCCTGTCCCGGCCCATTAATCCGTCAAAGTCGAACCTCCTTGGCATCCATCATCCTAAGCTGTGATCTTGCAAGCATGGTAGATGGTAGCGCTGAGAAGAAACCGGCAGAATACAGATCTTTATTATCAGAAGGAAGAGGAGAACACCACCAGATGGCTCGCAAAGTCAAAAAGTGTCAACTGCATCGAGGACATAATCCTGTCAGACAACACTGTGTAGGGATTTTTCTGCTTGTGGGTTTTACTGGTACAAGAATAAATAGGTGTTGCATGTCGGACAGACTTCGACTCCGAGTGAGAAGATCCAAGAGCAACATGGATCTTTGATGGCCACAGTTTTATCTGGCAGGTAAACTACTGACCTATGGCAATTTCAATCACCATTGTTGAGAAAGCTTGCAATTGTTCATAACCTATGATTTCTTGATTTGTACAAGCAATGTACCCATTATCTGTGCGTTGCCAGTCTCGAGAAGTTGTCGATTCTTTCGTTCAGCAGCTGAGGAGTGATGCCTTCCCTGTGACCAGTCTCTCCATCAGCCTTTTGTTCAGAGAATTGGCATCTGCGAGTTGTAGCTTCTTCGGTTTGCAGTGCAGTTCCATATGCTTTCACCTTTATTTGTTTAACTATGTAATGCAAACTATCGAAATCACTAAATAAAGGAGACATTTTGATGCCATCGTGGGTAAAGCGGCAATAAACTGCCGTGTGAAATGATCACACGGTAGTTCCTTTCTCTGTCCGACATTGTCGCATGTTAATATTGTAACAGGGTTAGATTGGATACCTGAGCTCCTCTGTTGGAAACAGGAGCTTCTGATCTATCTACGTTAGATTTTGGAAACGCAAGTGTTTGGTAATGATGTCTTCTAGCTGTCAGCACTCTTTAAATCTTGGCAGACCAGAACTAAGCTTCCCAAGAACCAGTTGCGTTGAAACCATGAGAGCCCAGCCTACAAATCTGTGTTCTGACATTTCTGGCTGGAGTTCCACGCTTCGGTATGTTAGAGAGAAAATTAGTTGAAGGAAAATTCTCAGCAGTCAACTGTTGGTGTGGTGCAATGCAAAATCCATAAAACTGTGAATTCTTCTGGCAGAAGAGGTTGGGGAGCGGAGTTGAGACTCTCATCTTCTTCTTCCTGATGCTCCGGGATATTTGCTACAGATGATCCATGTCGCCTTCCCTGGAATCCTAAAAAGGCTCAACGAGTCCCTCAGCCCGAGACTGATCTTTCCTCTGCGGCCCACTGTTTGAAGACGCCAGAGAAGCACCTGTTGCAGACTGCACACGTTCATTGATGGCGCACCTTCAACAATCTCAGGCCCTCTCGGGCCCAGCTGTGTTCAGTCACATCTATTATTGTCAGAGTCTACGGCTGATCTGATCTCCTCCGAATGACTAACTTCGACTGCAAGACTGCATTTGTCTGCTGCGAGCACTGCTAATTAGCTTCACGTAGAAGATCTTGGTCGGGTTCCCAGAAGCTTAAGCTGGTGACGAAGACCCGAGCTTGCATTTAAGTTCCAACGACAGTTGCGGTCAAACGATGAGCCGATGCACATGCTTGGACGGAGGCCGCCCTGTAATCCTGCGTGCACGTGTGGCAGCGGTGGAAGAGGAGCACGAGCTGCCGCTGATGAATCTCCATTCCAATCCTTGTTGACCCTACATGGTTGCACGTCTCCAACGTAGAACACCGGTGCCCCACCAACCCATCATATCAGTCGCATCAAACCCCACTGCGGTTCATCTTCTTCCTCGCACCGTCTCTCGAGTGCTGTCATGAGAATCCAGCCCAACACTGTAAGACTAAGACCTTTCCGCCATCTCCGCTTGAGCTTCCCCTCCCTGATTACGATGTCTCACGCCAAATTTTTGCCCTCTCACCTCCTGCTTCTGACCCTGCTCCCCCTTCTCTTCTCGTCTTTGGCATGCGTCTCTGCGTTCAGCAACACGAAAGGGAACGAACCGAGGGCCAATGACCCGGTGCTGGCGTCCATCACCATGGACCCCGTTGAGAGGGACACCCTGTTCTGTGTGATGAAGAACATGTCCTCTGACAGGGACTGGAGGTCCTCCAACCCTGATCCCTGCAAGCCGGACTCCTCATGGCCTGGGATTGAATGCAAGCCAGGCTTGGACAACCTGCTCCATGTCACAAGGCTGGACTTCGGCGTTGCGCCCAACCCGACCTGCAAGGAGAGCGCCACCTTCCCGTCCGAGATCTTTGAACTCCCTTACCTCGCGTCCATCTTCTTCTTGGACTGCTTCAAGGGTGTGGAGACCAGCCTCTCCCTTCCGCCGCCCACTCGTAAAGCATCACCACCAGCATATGCTTCACTCCAGCAGCTCAGTCTGATATCAAACCCATCCTTCGTAGGTGCTATTCCATCCCACATTTTCTCCATCACCTCCCTTCGGGTCCTCACTCTCTCGCAAAACCGACTGCATGGTACAATCCCTGACAGCATCTCTGAGCTAAACTCCCTCGTCCATCTCGACCTCAGCTACAACTTCCTTACAGGCAGCATCCCGAGCCAGATAGGTAGGCTTAAGGACCTGGTAGGCCTTGACCTAAGCTATAATTCCCTCGCTGGATCCATCCCACCATCCATTGGCCAGCTGCGCCTGCTTCAAAAGCTTGACCTGAGCTCAAATTCAATCGCTGGAATCGTACCTGATAGCCTCCAGAACCTCCGCTTCCTTGATTTCTTAGCCATCAGCAACAACAACCTCAGTGGGGAGTTCCCAAAAGGCATAGCCAAGCTCCAGAACCTCCAGTACTTCATAATGGACGACAACCCAATGTTCGTAAAGTTGCCGTGGCAGCTGGGGAGGTTGGCCAAGCTTCAAGAGCTTCGCCTATCTAATTCGGGTTACTCCGGCGTGATACCAGGGAGCTTTGCTTGGCTACGAAATCTCACCACTCTGTCCCTCGAGAACAACAGGCTCACAGGTGGGATTCCAGCGGGGTTGAGTGACCTTGAGAAGCTGTATCACCTTAATTTGAGCAGTAATTTATTGAGTGGTGTCGTTCCCTTTGACGCTGGCTTCTTTAAGAGGCTTGGAAGTAACATGGACTTGAGGGAGAACTCAGGACTCTGCATCAATGGGTCTCAGAGCCTCGACGGCATTAACATTGGGGTTGATGTATGCAGAGATAACGGGAGTAACTCTTCGCTTCCTAAGTCAGTGGACAAATCAGGTGGAGCTCCATTTCAGGTCTGCAACTTCTACTTTCAGCTAATGGGGACTGTAATTATCTGGAGTTGGTAACATTTGCTTCTGTTCTTTCTTCTTTAACTTCCTCCTTATTCCATCATCTCAAGTGATAGTTTTACCTCCTCCCTCTTCTATCAATCTCTCTTTTGACTCTTCTTTTGGAGTTTGTATGTTGTAGTCGTAAAATGAAAAGTTGGATGGATTGACACTGCCTGAAATTTTGGATGTTCTTCTAGTTCTTTAGCAGAGGCAAATCTTCGTCAAATCTGGGTGTGCATATTAGAGCAGACTGAAATAATCTTCACAAAATTGGGCTCTCTGTTTCCTGTACTGCGTTTCAACTTACTTAGGACAGGTTTTATGGCAGTAGGTGTGAATGATCTGAGCGCAACTTCCTTCTTTGGCAGATGTTAACGATTGATATTTCACCAACAAGATCTATGCTTCTGCTCGACGCAAATTATTGTGGCTGTTTTAATGATAATTCACCAATAAGTTGATTTGTTTGTTGTCGTTTAGTACTCGAGCTTCTTAATCCGGCTAAAAGCCAAAAAGAATCCAGAGAGAGAGAGAGAGAGAGAGAGAGAGAGGAGACACTTTCTCCGAACAGGTGAAACTCGAAAGACAAATGAGAAAGCAAAATACATTGTTCTTTGGAAGTTGTGGCAGAGCCAGCTAGGAAGTCACTTAGAGTTGGCCCGTGCGAAGTGACAGGTTTTACTGAGGTAGAGTTCTTGTCACATCTCTCCTTGCAACTGTTGATCTCCATGGCCATAGATGTTCGGCTGTTCTTTTAACAAAGATTGATTCATCAACTACAGTAGGCCGAGAAAAAAAATTGGACCTTTTGCGGACATTAGGCGATGTGGATTGGGCTGTTGTCTTGTCTTTCCCAAATGATCGAAATGATACGGGCAAGTCGACGATACATGCATGCTCTTTGCTGCATCCTAATGCACAGGAGAGGTATCGCATGCATCTGTGATCGAAAAGAAATGGCGAGCGAGTGCTTCCGAGGTCTGACAAGCGAGAGATGGTAACGCAGCAGAAAGGGACAATGTTTTCGGAATGGCTCACGTGGGCGTGCGGCAGTGCACCGAGTCCTGGAATCGAGGGCGTGCCCGGGGCCACCGTGTGTGTCTTCGCGCATCGAATCCGGTGCTCGCTCCACGCTCGCGCTGTGCGTCACAGTGGCGAGATTGTTTGCCCTCGGCTCCATCGAAAACCAATTATGGAAAGAAAAGGACTGCAATCTGCAGAGGTTGAAGTGCTGTTGCATGCGAGAAGGATGGGGGGAAGAAGTGTTGTTGTTTCTTGGGTTTGGAATTACAGTCGATGGTGGAAATGGCTTCAAAAGCGAAGGGGGGAACACAGTGACGTTGTTTCATCAAATGGTGAATGAACGTTCATCTCTCGAACACACACCCCATCGCGTTGTTTCGTCTAATGGTGAACATTACCTCTCGAATCAAACACCTGCAGGGTTGGCGAAAAGGACAGCATCGGCCCAGGAAGAATCATATATCAGCATCGGGGACAGCCATTTCTGCGGTCGAGTGTGAAATCCTGCGCAGGGCGGATAGGGACCATTCGTCCAACAGGGTTGAAGCTTCGTGGGTTGCGTGCTAGCGCTACAGCTCCTTCTTTTCGCAGTGAGTGCTCGGCTTATGCTCCGCGGGAATTGGTTTTGTCAGATCTATTATGTCGATTGATTTCAAGTAAGAACGCAAAGATATCGAGGCTTTTAAATGAATTGGATTGGTGTTTGCTATCTTTGTCTTAGTGAAGACGAGTTCGACAAGCACTATTGCATGGCATGAAATCTCACATAGACTATTATGCAGGGAGGTGACTCGCCTAAATTTGTCTCCATCGTGCACTACCCAAAAGATTGACCCCTAAATTGAGAGATTGTTAGCTAAAAAAAATGAAACGATGAACATTTCTTGTTGTCACGTACAAACAATTGGTCAAATATTTAAGGGACACTATGATGGACTTTAAACGTTTATAAATGATCCAAACTAGCTTTGACTTTTCCTACTTTTAGGATTCAAGTAGTGTTTTAGATGAAAGAGCAAAATTTGACTTCCATATGAGCAAGTGTTTCATAGGTTTGTTTGATCGTCCCTATGCCATCGTGTGTCCATCATTTTTGCCTTCTTACTCCACTTACTCATTTAGTAGAATAGGGTACAATAGCACCTGTTACTTGTTTTATTCCTTGGTTGACCATTATTGCATTGACTTTTCCTCACTTTTGACTAAAATCCTTCTAACACAAGCATAGGTCTTCTCTAGCATTCCTTTTTTTTTTTGACTTTTTGCTTGATACTTAATATTCTTACTTATTTCATCATCCTTTCTTTGATCAATACATCTCCTATAAAGCAAGAGACTGATAATCATATTGTAAAGCTCACACATCATTTTTTTTTTTCTTTCTTAGCTCACATCATTTATGGCAATGAACTTCATTCATTGATTGCATCAGGATTCTCACAAGCAAAAATGAGCTTTAGAGAAGTTCATCGTTTTATTGTTCATTAAAAACATAAGTAGTTTTAGAATTCATAATTCTTGTATTACCAAAGAGAATTATAAAATTATAAAATTTAGATTATCCAACCGAAGACCTTATTTTAGCATGAGAGGAGTTAAGAGATCATGAGAAGCCACAAGATAATGAATGATACAACAACACAAGTATGCCCATAATTTCTTAGCACTTGTTTTAGGCATAATAGTAACGCAAAAAAGGGTTACATTGATGAAAAGTGGGCGATCTAACAAGAACCTACATACTTAAAACTCCTTGAAGAATGTTGATAAGACAAAACCGGTTTAAAGGAGTGATCTCTTAAATTTTTTTTTTTTTTTATGGAAAGAATGTAAAATGAAAAGTTGCTTTCCAACAATGGGAAAGACCTAAAAAGGGACACAAAATTTTAATCCTTGTGATTTTTTTTTTTTCAAGACACCTAAAAAAGCTCAACAAACTCAAAAGATCAGAACTTATTGCTCTTAATCCCAAAAAAAGAACTATAAAAAAAAGAAAAAAAAAACCTTAACTGGGATATCAAATAACTTATTGCATTTGACAAGTCATTTCATTTAAATACACTTATCAGATGACTTTATCATCACTCATCCGACATTGGTTTCTAAACATTAGCACGATATACTTGAGATGTACATGAGATGGAGAATACTCATTGAGGCAATGTTATGACTTCGGATACCAAACCTGAAAACATGTTCATTCAAGAGATGCGAACGGCATCTACTAAAAGTTGCAGGCTCACATCATCCTCTGGGTCTAACTCAGAATAATCCTCACCAGAAGCATGGGCTGATTGGCTTCGACTTCCGCTCAGATTCTGCCAAAAATTTCTCCCTGCTCTCTTTGAGCTCAAACTGTTGGTTGATGTGCTGACATTTGAGAGGAACGGTTGAAGGGAAGCCCGTCCTTCGAGTAAACTCACCACTTTTGACATGGTTGGTCGAAGTGAGGGTGATGAGTTAGTGCACAACAGTGCCACATTCAACATCAGTTTTGCCTCTTCCTCGGAGTACACCGATCCAAGATCTGGATCGACCAGTTCCAACAGGGTGCCTCTCTCATGAAGAACACATGCCTGGCATACCATAGAAGTAAACAAAATCATGAAAGTTAGATCGATATTATCAAACCAAATGAACATTTCGTTCTTGTGTCAGATCAAATGTTCAGTAATATCAGGAAAAATGTTGCAGAATCTCAAATGGCTCTCAGCTTATTGATAATTTATAAGACAAAACTCGATCAGAATTAAATAAATTCATGGAAGTTACCCAGTCAAGAAGATAAACAAACTCATCCTTTGGCCTGTAATTTGTGTTGCTTTTTCCACTCACAATTTCCAAAGCAACTACACCAAAACTGTATACATCTGCTTTATCAGTCAAATAACCTCTCATTGCATATTCAGGAGCCATATAACCTCTGCAATCATCAAAATTGTTAGGAGTCAGCTGTAAGATTACATTACTTCGAGGGCATTTGTTGCTATATCTTATAGCGGTCTGTGGATGGATTTGTATTACCATTCAGCATGATACAACTCATGCATGAGTTGGTCGGTACAGAATAATCACATTGCCAAGGATGTTGTCAACATATTTTCATCAAAGAATAAGAACACATAACGGAACAAAGGCAAATTACTATACATCCAAAGACGCGTGATGTACAGCAGCTTTTGCTGAATGATGTAGGAAAGCATGCATTTTTGCAGAAGCAAATTGCTGATTCCTATATGTCAAGACAAAGGTCATCAACTTTTTGGATGAAAACTTGAACTGCCTAAGCTATCTAGTTGTTTTCCTAGATCTTTGACAAAGCCAGATGTTCTTCAAGGAGAAGATCCTCATGAGCTTTTTATCGCAGACTGACATTCATTAGACAGCATTCATCAAATAAATTCAACAATTTAATGAGTTTTGCTATATCAGAGCAAACACAAAGATTTTGGCAATTGTTAGAAATATCACAAAAATATGAGGATAAATATTTGACATGTGCTGCTGTCTGTTAATGTCTTTTTTTTTATAACCAATCTGTAGAGTCAACTGATTAAAGACATTTTCTGGTATCTGCCAAGACTGCAATTGTGTATGCCTTGAAAAAAGAATTTAAATCAGTGTTGATCTGGAAAATGTCAAGACCTGGATTATCTCTTGTTCTCCATGCTAAGCATTTAATTGCTGCTAAGTATTTAATTGCTTTATAAGTATGCAAATACATCAGCAGTTTCTCAGCTGGAGAATAAACAACTATGTCACCATGGAGCCACTTCAGGGTGTAGATTTATCATCTCATACTTTGGTATGGCTAGTAATAGCCCAGGTTGTTTAAAGAAAGCAGATGAAGAGAAAAAAAAATGAACACTTACATTGTTCCAGCTATTCGAGTACTGATGTGACTGCAGTCCTCTTCACTAAGCTTAGCAAGACCAAAATCAGAAATTTTGGCATCGAGGTCCCTATCAAGCAATACATTACTAGCTTTGATGTCTCGGTGGACAATTCTCAGTCTGGACTCCTCATGAAGATAAGCCAGTCCTCTAGCTATGCCAAGACAGATCTTGTGTCTTGTTGGCCAATCCAATTTCAGTTTGTGTCTTGCATCTTTGCCTAGACAGTTTTTGGTAATTATTTGCCTTAACCAAATATTCTCAAACTTATAACAAAGTTACGAAAGAGTAGCTGATTTGATAAGTATACATACCAAATAGAGCACGGGCTAGACAGTTATTCTCCATATACTCGTATATCAACAATAGTTGGTTGCCTTCAGTACAACATCCATAAAGCTTCACAAGATTTGGGTGTTGCAAGGCAGAAATCATGCCTATTTCATTGATGAACTCACGATTTCCTTGCTTGGATCTAGATGAAAGCTGCTTGACAGCAATTACTGTACCATCTGATAGTAGACCCTAACATTTGAGAAGACAATAATACAGAGAGAAAGCAGTTTGAGAATTGAGCTTACAGTAATCAGCTGCAAGTTATTGAATAAGCTAATGTGACAATAAGATGTCAATATTACCTTGTAAACTGAACCAAAACCACCTTCTCCGATCTTGTTTGCAGGATCAAAATTCTTTGTTGCTGCTTTAATTTGTCGTAAGGTAAAAGATCCAGTTTGCAGATCAAGACCTCTAAGTTCTATTCAGAAAGTAGAATAAAAAGAAGTTCCATCAGCTTTAGGTACCAATTGGTTGCATTATTACAACCCAAGTGCAGCTGACTATTAAGGAGAAAGAAAAGAATTCTATAACTTATCACATAGAAAGACCATATTTTACACCTTTAATGCATAAAAATTAGCCTATCTTCAATTCAAGGCAACCAAGAAATTTGGTTTTTTTTCTATATTTTTGGCACATATCCTAGTGCGGACATGTTCCATAATAAGGTAGCAATTAAATTAAATTATTTTGAAGCAAAATATATAAAATCTGCAAGAAACCATACTATAAAAAATAAGTATGTAGGTGCAATTGCCAACAAAAAATGGCCGGAAACTTTCAGCAAATTCAATCGTATGCTCTGCTCAACTAACATAGACATCAACTAAAAAATCTGGTAATAGGTTAAAAGAATTTAAGTGGATTATGTAAGCCTAACACAATGATTTCAATAGGTGGTCGGGCACTCGCCTAAACGCTCGGGCCTCAAGTGCTCGGGCGAGGCCCGAGCGCCTCGCTTCATTTCCAGGCGGCGCGCTTCAAAGAGGCGTCGCCTGGGCGCTCGCCCGAGCCCAGGTGTCGGGCGCTTCTGGCGAGTGCCTAGGTTAAACCAGACAATCGAACTAGCATTTTAGGTCTGGTTTGGTCTCTGGTGCTTTAGTTTGTTCAATCGAACCAACTAAAGCACCGATATCAGCGCGACTTCCCCAACCCTAACCCTGCTCGTCGTTCACGCTGCCACTGTCGTCGCTCGCCGCTCTTGCTGCTGCCACTGTCGCCGCTCGCCGCTCCCGCTACCGCTGCTCGCTGCTACCGTTGCCACTGTCTCCGCTCACCGCTCCCGCTGCTCGCTACTACCGTTGCCACTGTCTCCGCTCACCGCTCCCGCTACTCGCCGCTGCCACTGTCGTCGCCTGCTGCTCCTGCTGTCACTGTTGCTGCTCGCTGCTATCGCTGCCACTACCACTGTCGTCGCTCCCGCTGCTCGCTGCTACAGCTGCCACCGTCACTGTCGTCGTTCGTTGTTGCCGCTCCCGTTTTTCTCAGTCAGCACCCTCGATCTTCCCTTACACTCTTCTCTTCTCTTTCAATAGTATAATGTTAACAATATACAGTATACTGTTAACTGTATACTAGTAACAATATTTATATTTATTAGATTAATAATATATTATTTTGATTTTAATACTGTTAATTTTTATTTATTTGAAATTATTGTTAGGTTTCAGGATAAATGACAAGTGTACAGAGCAACTTAATAGAGTCTCTAATGGCATCAAAAAAAGATCTTGTATGGAAGTATAATTATCTAAAGGATCCGAAAGATCCTAATGCAGTGACTTGCATGTTCTGCGATAAGACTACTAGAGGTGGTATTTTTCATGCAAAACAACATTTAGTAGAAAATTTCAAGAATGCAACAGCTTGCAAAAAGTGTCCACCTGAGGTAAAAGAAGAATTGTTGAGTTATATGAATGAAAAGAAGACGCAAAAGAATGAATCTTACGGGAATTTACCAGAAAACAATGTTAAACATCTCAGGGATGAAGAAGAAGATTATTCTATGAGTATTAACCCAGGTGGAAAAAAGTATACGACAAAAAAGGAAAAGAAGTTATGAGTACTAAGAAGGATAAAAAGGACCGATGGATCTATATATGCTTCAAGGATCACAAAAGTAACAAGGCAAATAGGAGACTCAAAATTTCGACAAACAAATATAAGTGATGCTTGTGATAAAGAAATAAGAGGAAGAACAATTCAGCACATTGCTTGCTTCTTCTATCAGGCTGGTCTTCCCCTTAGTACAACTCGTTTAGATAGTTTTAAGGAAATGATTGAAGCTATTGGAAGATATGGTGCAGGATTAAAACCTCCAAGTTATTATAAGATGCGAGTTTCATTATTACAAAAAAAGTTGAATTATACAAATGACTTACAAAATGGTCATAAAGAATCATAGGCAACACACATTTGCTCTATTATGTCAGATGTTTAGAATGATAGGAGGCGCAGGAGTATAATTAATTTTATGGTTAACCGTTCTTTAGAGATTATGTTTGTGAAGTCAATAGATGCTTCATCTTTTGTAAAATCTAAAGACAAGATATATGATTTACTTGACAAGTTCGTGGAAGAAATTGGAGAACAAAATGTCGTTCAAATCATAACCGACAATGGAAGCAACTATGAATTAGCTGGTAATATCCATCTTTTGAATTTTTTTAATTTTTGAATTAGTTTATCTTCAATTAAATGTGTTAAACTCTTAAGTCTTATCATTTATATTATCCTTTGTCTCAGGTAAATTGCTTGAAACAAAAAGACAACACTTATATTGAACTCTATGTGCAGCACATTGTATTGATTTAATGTTGGAGGATATTTGAAAGATCTTAGACATAAAGAAAATCATAGAAAGGATAATTTTTGTTGTTTGATTTTTTTATAATTATATTGGGGCTTTGAATATGATAAGAGAATTCACAAGGAACAAAGAATTAGTGAGATATGGTGTCACCCGATTTGCTAGTTCATTCTTGACATTACAAAACGTGCATCGTCAAAAACATAATTTGAGAAACATGTTTACCTCTGAAAAATGGGTGACAAGCAAATGGGTAAAAGAAGCAAATGGCAAGAGGGCTACTGATATCATCTTAATGTTATCCTTTTGGAATCATGTAGTTTCTATATTAAAAGTAATGGGCCCTCTTGTTCGAGTCCTTCAATTGGTGGATGATGAAAATAAGCCTGCAATGAGATATATTTATGAGGCTATGGATAAAGCAAAGAAGACGATTAAAATGTCCTTTAATGAAAATGAAGAAAAACATGAGAAAATTTTTACAATCATTGATGAAAGATGGAATTGTCAACTTCATCGTCCTTTATATACAGCAGGATATTATTTGAACCCTGAATTCTTTTATAAGATTAAATCTGTTGGGTTTAATGCAGAAGTTTTAGATGGGTTATATCAGTGCGTTGCAAGATTAGTTCCAAGCCTTGAGGTGCAAGATAAGATTATTCGTGAATTATCTTTATACAAAAATGTCGAAGGTCTTTTTGGAATCCAATGGTTGTTCGATCCAAGACAACTACGTCTCCATGTATTAATAATTTAATATAATTAATTTCATCTATAGTATGTTACTATGTTATTGCTAATAATAATATAAATTTTGCAACTGAATGATGGAGTCTATTTGAAAATTTCACCTCGAACTTACAACAATTTATTATCAAAATACTTAGTTTAACATGTAGTGCTTCGAGTTGTGAGCGAAACTGGAGTGTCTTTGAGCATGTAAGGATCACTAAATATTTTTATTTTAATTAATTAATTAATTTATATAGATATATTAATATATTTTTAAATTATATGACATGATAAATTCACTCAAAGAGAAAAAATCGATTGGAACATCAACGATTATACGATCTTATTTACATATAGTATAATTAAGCTTTGAAGGCTTATCATGATTTGCAAAATAGAATTAATCCAATCTCATTGCAAGATATTGATAATTGGTTAGTGGGAGAAATGGGTGCCAACTTGCAAGATATCGAAGACGAGCTTGTATTTGAAGATGATAGATTGACATGGGGAGATGTGGCAAGAGCTTCAGGTGCTGGAGAATTATAAACATATACAAGACATATGACAAAGAGAAAAATGAGTGCAAAAGCATTAAGCTCGGCTCATACTATTGTTGAAGACATAGAGAATGAAACATATTTTGATGAAGAGGAAGGATAAGAGGAAGAGGACGAATTCAATGAAGATGATTTGTGTGAAAATGACGATAATATTGATTATGATGAATGACTTTAATATAAAATTTTATTGTTTTGAATTTTAAGACTTTTTATTAATGTGACATTGTGATTTTGTACCTTAGATTTTCTTAATTTAATAGCATATTTTTATTTAAAATTTTAAATAATTATATTTATTAATTATATTATATATTTTTATATTTTAGCGCCTCACTTCGCTCGAGTGAGCGCCTAGCGCCTCAGGCTTTTTTGGACCTTGGCGCCTAGCGCTTTTTAAATCACTGCTAACACAAATACAATATATAAACATTTAACTTTCCTATAATTGTAATCTAAATAATTTTTGTATCTCTTTGTTGTCATTAGATCCATGAAATGGATTTTGGTCTTTGTTTTAGCCATCTTCTATCTAAAGCTTAATATAAAAGGAGTCATGAGTCTTCAAGACAAAATTATTTGACATTGTTAGTGCATATTTTGGTTGTCCAGGCTGGGATAATGATTTGGATCCAACCAAAGCCCGTTCCAAGTCAGTCTCACTCTAGGTCACCATTCGCAAAGCATCAAAGATCCAAAACTAGGTCGGGGGTGTTCTCGACAAATGGCCCTTAGATAATCAAGTCAGTTCTTGGATTCGGTCCAGTTGGATTGGTTGACTAATACTGAAGTGAAATAGTGCCTATGGTTACAGTCTGGTCTGATGACAATGGAAGTTGGGTAAATGGTGGTGGATTGGTCATCGAATCTTAGAATAATCAACGGAAAAGTAGAGGAACAAATAATTGGAAAGTGGGAGGAGCGGGTCCGACTGAGGGCCCAGATTGAATCTGCCCTGGGAGTATTGAGTTTGGTGGGTTTAGCAACAAGACACTTGGCAAGGTCAAACTCAAACCTCCTTGTTCGTTTGGCCCGTTGGCCTGTTCGATCTGTTGGGCTCTTTGGGATTCGGACTGGATGGACATGCAAAGTTTCTCAGAGATATTTTGGCGACCCTCCTTCTAGCGCTAATCTATTAGTGTAGATTTTGGTTGTAGAAGCTAGGATAGTGATTCAGATCCAACCAATGTCTGTTCCAAGCCAATCTCACTCCATGTCACTATTCGTAGAGTTTCGAATCTGTAAAACTAGGTCGGGGGTATTCCCGACAAATACGCCTCCAACGATTAAGTCAGTTCTTGGGTTTGGTCCAATCGGATTTGTCGACTAATACTGAAGTGCAGTGTTTGTGGGAGGATATCTGGGGGCCCTTTTTATAAGTGACTCTGAGGACGGTTATGCCCGAAATCATCGGTAGCAAGAGGGGAACATGTGTTTTCAGGTAGAGATATGTCATGATGTTTATTGAACTTGATGCCCACGTAGGCGGGCCGCGTCAATCACGGGTTCGAACTATCGACCGTTTGGTCACGTATCACTCTGTGGTGAGTACATGTGGTGCGATCCAACCGCCACCTGTCAGCCACGTGTGATCCCTATGTTCTTTGGCAGTTGGTCTGTTGGACCATTGGCCGCGTGCCGTCATGTGGTGGTGTTGTCTCCTACATGTCACTCTTCACCTATTAGACATGATGAACCTGATGTCTTAAAATCAAAAGATATAATCTAGAGAAGGAATCTGCTAGTTCATCATGTTACTTGATTTGGAACTTTAGCATTTTTCTTCAGTATGATAATTAAGCCCCATAGTGCAAGAAATATATGAAAAGGACCACAGTGATGTAGTACTCCTCTATAGTCAAGGTGGTGAGTATTATATGGTGATGGTTACAGATTTGACAAATTAGGAAGATGAGAAAAAGAAAGAAGACGGCTGGACAATGAGGGAGTTGTAAGTAATATGTTTCTAATAAGATCTATGGACATATTTAAACATTGGTAAAACATATGACTACAAGGGAAATGAGTTCCTGTATATCACATATGAAAAAGACCACTGCAATACAGTAGTCAGCAGGTACTATAAGGTTATGACTACAGAAATGGTAAATTCGAAAAGAAGAAAAAGAAAGAAGACAAAGGTAGACAATGTGAGAATTATAAATAATATATTTCTAAATAAATCTTCATGCACTATGACATTTGTAGATTCATTTTCTTGCTGACTCCTCTCTTGGAATTTCCTTATATTGCCGAAAAAGGAACTTTGTGTCTTCTGTATTTGATGAGTTGACTTCAAGCCAAGTATAAAGAAGTTGAGATAAAGTGGTCATATGCTTCTTTTTTCTTTGTCTCAGCCTCCCAGGTCAAACCGTGTTTGTTTAGTTTTCTTACAGAAACAAAAACTAGTTACAACCGCAGTCCAATATTCTTCTACAAAAATTTGACTATTATAAGCATGAAAATTCAGAGCATTATCATTCCAAGAAAATTTTTGAAACCTAGTTTGTTACATTTAAAAGCAAGAAACAAATCATTTCTGCATTAATGCAATTATTAGACACATGAAGACCAGATGGAGCATTCTGAAAAGAATCCAATTATAAATCAGAAGAATATGTAGAATCAGACCATACATACATACATTATGATCATATTCAGGTAGTAAAAGAAAGAGTTTACAGATATGAATACAACCAGGTGCTGCATTTATACTGAGCAGATATAATAACAGTCCATAGTTTAGCCTTTAATACCTTGGTGCATGGAGTTTCGCCGCCTCTTCCTCCAAATTCCAAGAGCCAATAGAACAAGGAAAACCACCAAAATGGAAACCCCAAGGCTGATTATAATATGCATCCTTTTATCACTAGAAGATTCAACATCTGGAGGAGGTGTGAAATCTGAAGATAAAAATGATGCAACTTGAGAAAATAGGTAACAGCATTACATGTATAATGATTAAAAAGAAATTATTGAAGTGTGTATAAATATGTTGAAATAGAACATGCCATCAAGAAAAAATTAAAGTATCCAGTAACTATAATTAGCTTCTTATGATATTGCCTAATGTGGAAAGTAGAAAACTAAGATGCAATTAGATCTATGCATTAATCTCTGGAGTAAAGAACAAAATAATTTTGAAATAAACAACTATTAGCCATCTGACCTTGAATTAGGTAATGTTAAAACTATGATTGTTCTAGTTCCATAACAGGATTCTGCATAACAAAATTATGCCACAGTAGCCAAACATGAAAATGGGGGCAAGGTCATCATGTGTCAAATCCAATCATTTTGGCTCCAACTTCACATATGTTAACATGAACAGTAATAAAGAAACCATTAAAGACTAGATCATACTAGGTGTCACTGAGACAGCTGATATCAGAGGACCATAAACTCCTCTACTTGGGATTCCTGTTGTTCCCCTTCCAGCCCAATAAAATTGGATCTTTAATGTATGATCAGTGACAGATGCGTTGAATGTCTTAATAATGGGTTCTCCTGATTCACCAGCTGCATCTTCGATATTGAAATCCTCTAATACCAACTCCTCCTGCAGTAAGTATACTTTAGTTTCATACGTCTGATGCACCAGAAGTAGGATGAAATAAAATTTACTTATAGTTAAATTACCTGAATAAACACATTAAATAAACGCTTTCCAAGGCTTCTGAATGTATTGTCATGTGTGAAAACTGTTTCTGCAAAGTGAAGTTTTACCATATAACTTCCTTCCATCATACAGAGGCCATAATAAGTAAGTGATAGAGGAGAAAGGCGTGCTCTTGTGTACAGTTCTGAATTGGGCATGAAGAGTTCAGAAATATTTGAAGCAATATAATTGTCAGCATCAACATCATTGTCCATGAAGTTCCCAGTGCTACTGAATGCCCAGTTTGAACCTAAATACAACATCGAGGCACCTCTTCCTTCTGTATCTGCTTCATACTTGGTTCCATTGATGTTTATTTCTTTACCTCCACAATTAATATGCAACGAGTATTGATCTGTTGAAAGATTTTATCAAGTCATTTAAGAGATGAGAATAGTGACGAGTTTCTAGACAAAACTACATTCCAACTATTGCTACACGATCAATCTGCAAAAAGCGTTCATCCTAGCAACAACACAAAATTATTAAATTCTTTTCATATTTTTTTAAACAGCAAGCCTTGCTCTAGGAATTGTTGGCATCTACTTGAGACACATTTGAAATTTTATTTGCTTTTAGCACTCCCTGTGCTTGGTCCACTCATGGTTTGCAACATTTAATTGGGTCCCAATACTGGATAAGTTGTACTAAGTAAATATGTGATAAGCAAGCATTGCTGTTGAGGTCTGTGTCTGTTTGTTCCACTGATGCAATTCTTTGAAGTTATCATCACCTCAGACAGGTGTATGCTGGTGTGTAGCATGCCAAGGATGGTGCCTGGCACATCAGCTGCAAACTGGCAGAGATATCTGTGATTCTTCTTTAATAAGCATGTTCCAGGGAAGGCTAATGCACCATCTTTCATTAAAATGCTTAGGATTAAGCTATCGACATATGTGCTGCCAAAATTAGATAGGAGCATTTGTTTATTTTGATTGTAAATGATTATTAAGTTCAAATGACACTTGAGGTGCCCATCACTGAACTTCCTGAATATATATTATATATGGTACTGACTTGACATAAGAAAACTATACTTTTCTCTGTTGACCATCTTAACTTGCCATGCACTGTAATTAATTAGTGAAAGACTGTTCTGTAGATAACTTACGGTGAACTGTCACGGACAAACTTCTAAACAAGATATTTGATGTAATGCTTATGTATGTCCGTGTCTTTTGGCATGTTCATGCCTTGTATAGCATGTAGAGGGGCGGCCAAAGGCTTAATAGTCCCATTTTAGTTGGGTTGGTGGCCTCTTTAGGCTTGTAAATAAAGGTTGTGTCATGTGGACACGTGTGAGAGATTTTCGGTTTGTAATGGACCATTTTACCCTTTGTTGTGCCACTGTTCAGAGCTTGTAAAGTCTGTTTGTAATTTGCATTGTCTATGAAGTGTTTTCGGAGATGTCTGCTTGTGGATCCCGATTGAGGCGTTCTCTCTAGCCCGTTCTCTCTTTTGTTGGTCCTAAGGGACAATGGGAGGCTTCGGGGAGACTGACCTTTGCAGACGGACACGCAAGGGTGCCGCACGACTTAGGCAAAACCAGCTAAGTCCGTGACAGATGGTATCAGAGCGGGACAAGCACTCATAGAAACACTTAGCATGCAAACGTGGGGGACCTAGCGGGGCTGCGTTGAGGGCAGTCAGCACACGCGCGACCGTTTGGGGGAAAACGGGCATGGAGATGTAGGGAAAAGGAGTCGCTCGGAGGAGCGGGCATCTGACATTGGCATTCAGAGGAATGGCCAACCCTTTGCGCAAGAGGCACCACGAGAACAGGCAAGCTTGGATAAATGCGGAGCGCACAAAGGTTGGGATAGCTGAGTTTGAGCTACGGCTCAACGTTGACAACTATACTTGATGGTGCTCAAGGCAAGCGAGGCGCTTGGTAAAGGATGAGACCATCCAAGGTGGAATGAATTGCTCAGCGATCGAAAGAGTTGTGCAAAGCTCACAGAGGTGAGAGGAATTACTAACTCAAAGAATTCGGTACTCATGCATGGGCTTGTATGCGGACGATGGAATGTTCGTGGCCATCCCAAGGCGACCGAAACTCGGCGCCATGGAGCATTGAAACTTTCTCTTCGGCATATGAAGGATACGTCCGTAGGAGGCTGAAGTGTGCAACGAGTTCAGCATGTTGCTAGGCCTTGAGGGGTGCAGCGAGGGCTGTATTGACGGGGAGTCACAATCTAGCAAGTGCGTTTGCAGAAGGCAGAACAATGCACAGTTTGTTCAGCAGATCGGAGTAGTCCAAGGGGATGGTGGTCTCCGAAACGAAGAGAGATATTGCTCCAACGGGATAGTTATCCAAGAGGGATAAGTCCCGGCTCTCCAGAGGGAGAATCATGTGGGACGGACCTCACATGTTGAGGAGGAGTACTTCAACAAACAACAACTCCACGAAGCTCGATGGACTGAGCAAGCGGCGAGGAGTCATCGCATGATCTCGCTTAAGAGAATGCATTGGTGGATGCATTGCGAGATCAAGTGGGGGAGCGACCCAAAGCAACTTAAATGAAGGCACACTTGAAGTCGATGTGGAGATCGGACTCAAGGGAGGGCTGACCCGTGGAATGGTGGGCGCGAGGGCCACCATCGACTCAATGCAAAAATGAGGAGCGGAGCAACTCGGGTGTAACTTGGCGAAGTACCCAAGCCGCATGAAGGGAGCCAGCATAGAAGTTGGGACATGGAGCAGAGGCACAGTGCTTTCCTTAGACAGAGGTCAAGGACATGAACTCTTGCAGAGGTAAGAGTAGGATCATATTGTTCCATGGGTCCTTCATTCTGACGGAGCGGACTCATCTTGCATGGTGCCAAAGACGAAAGGAGCTTATGGGCACATGCACCTTATCTCGGAGGAGCATTTGATGGAGGAACTAAGGCGACTCAATTTGCGGAGGCGAAGTTGGGTTCAGAAGGCCTTAGCACGGGGCAAGAGGACGCAGAGGCGGGTACTCTTGAAGAATATGCCACAGTGTTGCCATTCAAGTTGCCATGAAAGAAGCGGTGCGCAGCGGAGATTGTGCTGGTAGGGGCAGAGGCCCAGGATCCAGACAATGGTGCACAAATTACAGTGAAGTCGGTGGACTTCGGGAGCTACTAGGCGACGGATTGTCCTAGAGCAGTGCTTCATCTAGGTGTGACCCAAGAGTGAGTGGATGAAGGTCGATTGCCAAAGGAGCGAACAAAATCGAAGGTGGAGGAGACCCTGCGATGTATTGGCAGAGGCCACACATGGAGGGTTCACAATTCGAGTTTATTCCACAAGGATCAGAATGCAATGGAGATGTCACCAGGAGGCGACATGGTGCAGCGGATCGTGGTGGAATAGTTAGTGGCAATGCGATACACACGACCTAGCCCCGTAAGGGACTAGATCATATGGAGGTATGATCGGGAGCTACTGGAAGCTCCACTTCGGTGAACAACACGATGACAAGAAGGGCTATGGATTCAAGGAGTGAAGGCCATGGTAACGCAGAGGCGGGTCTTCCGTGCGTGCATCGAATTTTGCATCGGATGAAAACCTTGGTCATCAGCATATGGGGGCTGGGTTCCACCAAGGGAAAAGTTCGGATGCAAGTACCAGTGAGTTCCATGGGAGGGACTTGATCATGCAGAGGTATGATCGAAGCAGCTGGAGAGTTGGACTACTCCAGAGCTCATATTCGCTTAAGGGAGCCCGCCAAGTCAGAGGACAAGATCGAGTAAGCGAACGTTGCTACCAAGGAAGCTAAGGAGAACAGAATCGGTGCAAATCATACAACGTGATGGCAGAGGCCATACATGGGAGTTGCAGTCTGTCTTTCCATCGACCAAACGGACTGTTTGGAGAACACAGAGGTGTTGAAGCAGGGGGTCGAAAGGGGCGAGGAAGCGACGACGAGTCCAGAGGGACTTAGCTACCCAAAATCAAGCATCAGTTAGAATGGAGGTGGACTCAGAGGAGTGCCACGAAGACATATCTATTGATCGTGAAGAAAATGGATGCAGATGCGAGGCGACGGATAGTAGGGTCATGGGCATGGCAGCGCCATGGTACCGCAGAGGCGAGACTTCCGTGAAAGTCATTGATCCCTTGCTCTCATGGAGGGAGAGCGCTTGGTCGTGAAAGGGGCCGAGGAGGCGGAGCATGCAGAGGCAATCTCCAAGTACCGAGACAAGGCTGAAGGGCAGAGGCCGAGGAACTTCGTAAGACCGGTGTCAGTGTGCTTCTCATCAAGACAGCCGTAAGTGAAGGACTTCGGGTCATGCAAGAGTGCATAACCAAGGAACGAAGCAGGCAGTACGCGGTGCTGTACCTTTGCTACTCAGTGGAGTAGGCGGCAGGGTTGATGGAGAAGACGGTACAATCCCAGAGGCGACCAAACCTATGAGAGAATTACTCCAAGTTGGGGTGAAAACTTCCTGCATTCCAGAAGTTCGATGGCATTGAGAAGGTGAATCACAGTAGCTAACTCAACGCAATGAGTGCAAACACTTCAAGTGCTTCAGAAGTGTGAGCAAAGAGCAGGCGAAGGCCAGTAACCAGCTCGATGCATGAAGTACAACCTCGAGGAGGCGGGCGAAGTCAAGTAACCTTTGCCTTCTCAACTCTTAAGAGAATGGGCGAAACCGAGTACCCCAATTCTCTTATCTATCCAGCAGAGGAGCTCTGCACAAGTTCAAAGACCCTTCGAAGATAATGAAAGACAATAGT